TTCTCCCATCGTCAGCCTCCTCGTAGCTCTCTTCTATCATCACCAGCAGCGATAGCGTTGCTGGCGGATTGTCTACCTACGGCTCCGCTACCGTCAGTAAGTACCGCTCCCTCATTTGGTCCTCTCTTCCGTCGCCCTTCAATTCTCCCCTCCTTTTTATCCCTGCGCTGATGGTGAGTGCGGCGAGTAATGTTGTCACCCTCCCCCTCCCCCCCACTCCCTTCCTTCTGCCAATCACCAGCTGCCAACAAGGATGGATTTATGGCGGTGGGTCTCACCATTGAGAACGCGGCGGGGCCGGAGGGCGAGCAAGCCGTGGCGCTGATGGTGAGCGGCGATCGCTCCGCCGTGTATGACTCTGCTATCACGGGTTACCAGGACACGCTCTGTGTGGACGCCGGGCGGCAGTACTACAAGAACTGTTACATCTCGGGGTTCACGGATTTCATCTTTGGGGATGCGGCGGCGCTGATTGACTCGCCGACTATTTTCCTCCGGGCGGGGAAGAAAAAGGTGCAAATTACGGCGTCTGGGCGGGAGAGTAACACCCCCACCGGGATTGTGATTCGCTCGGGGAAGGTCCAATCAGAGAGCGGCGTTCGGCTGGCGTATCTGGGCCGTCCGTGGAAGGACTGTGCGCGCGTCGTGTACGTTGATACGAACCTTCCCAAGGAGATTCAGCCCGACGGGTGGAGCACGTGGAACGGGGGCAAGCCGAAAAGCTGCCATTACTACGCGGAGAAGGGCAGCACGGGGCCAGGAGCGGCCAGCTCGCGTGCTTCGTGGGCCAAGCCGGGGATTATCTCAGACGCGAAGCAGTTTGGGCCGCAGACTTTCCTGGAGCTGAGCAAGTGGTTGAATGTGGTGGACGGTATTCTCAAATAGAGCGGAGCAACTGAGATAACTGGGCCAAGTGGTGGAGATTGGTTGCGCTGCCTGCTGCTAGTGCCAGCTCGGCACCTGCGTGTACAGAAGTGGCTGTCTCCAATGTATTTCTCCAGCCAGTTTCCCCAGCCAACCCTCACCAGCCAAGCTTCTCAGCCAAGCTGAATCATTTTGGTCTGTCTGTGTCTAGCTTCCCCTGTGCCTTCCCTGCTCTAGGCCTTCAGAAGCCCGTATATTAGCCATATCTAGTGGCAGGGCCAGTTCTCTCTGCAGTCAGGATGTTTGTTGTGGGCGATGTGCTTAGTTAGGGTTATCTAACTTTCTGATAATTTTGTAAGGGAAATAAAATTTGGGATATTTCAGATGTACTGTGAAAATTCCGTTGCAAGCACCGATTCCAAATTCAATCATTTGGGGGAATGCCCATGAGATTCAAATTCGTCATATGAAGAATTGCAATTGGGATCGAAATATGTACAGCGTGACCACGATCTTTCTGCTGTGACACATGTCTGACAACGATCGCGGTTTTCCCGCGTCACTCACGAATTCCATCCTCGCCTCCCTGCTTTCACCTCAGCCCGAGCAGCACCTCAGCACACCCTGCGCCGACATTATGATCGTAGGGCAGGACAGACAGACTATCGCGAACAGAGACGAGGCGCGATGAGATGAGACTAGCCCACCGTAAGGTGAAGCCATTGGAGCCGCAAGCCACGATGCAGAGCTTCTTCGCGACTCCGCTACCTGGACTCTCCAAGTCTCCGATATTCAGTAGTCCTGTCATCAGACGAAGCTTCCGAGTGCTTGCCGTTACGGCCGGGGTCGCTTTGTTTCTTTCCTTCCTGTACTTCGTCGCAGACGACTATTACGTTTTCCGCGCGCCTCGGGAATGCCTCTCCGCTCTCAACGGAACGAAATGTGCCTCCGAATTTCGCGTCGCGCGGCTATCTCTAGGCGCGATTCCCGCCTCCAGAAGCGCCGTGATTCGCGCTCTAGTGGATCGGGTGCAAACGCAAGTCCGCGCGGCCCTGCCGCTGCTCGGGGAGATTAAAGCTAACGTGACGATTAGGACTAAATACACGGAGATAATAACGAAGGAATGCGCGGATCAGGCGGGAATCGCGCTGTACCACTTGGCACTGGCTGCCGATCGGCTCTCCTCGGAATCAGCGCGCGGCGCAGCAGTTGGCTCCACCGGCGGCGGAAACGGCGGCGCAACTGGCGGCGGCGCTGGTGGCAGTGGCGGAAGCGGTGGAATGGTCGATGTGCCGTACTGGCTGGCGGCGGCGCAGCGCCAGATGCGCAACTGCATGAGCGCGCTCAATTACTTCACCCCACTGTCCCTGCAGTCCCAGGCTGGGGCCGCCCTCACAGTGAGTGAGTTGTGGGCTGGCCGGTGAGTCGAGCACAAGGCGCGCTCTTTATGAGAGCGCGCAGATATGCAATGCAACTGCATGAGCGCGCTTAAGTACTTCACCCCACCGCCCCTGCAGTCCCAGCCGGGGGTCGCCCTCACAGTGAGTTGAGTTGTGAGGCAGGCCTGTGAGCAGTACAGGGCTGGCCTGTGAGCAGTACAGGGCAGGCCTGTGAGCAGTACAGGGCAGGCCTGTGAGCAGTACAGGGCAGGCCTGTGAGCAGTACAGGGCAGGCCGGTGAGCAGTACAGGGCAGGCCTGTGAGCAGTACAGGGCAGGCCTGTGAGCAGTACAGGGCTGGCCTGTGAGCAGTACAGGGCAGGCCTGTGAGCAGTACAGGGCAGGCCTGTGAGCAGTACAGGGCAGGCCTGTGAGCAGTACAGGGCTGGCCTGTGAGCAGTACAGGGCTGGCCTGTGAGCAGTACAGGGCAGGCCTGTGAGCAGTACAGGGCAGGCCTGTGAGCAGTACAGGGCTGGCCTGTGAGCAGTACAGGGCTGGCCTGTGAGCAGTACAGGGCAGGCCTGTGAGCAGTACAGGGCAGGCCTGTGAGCAGTACAGGGCAGGCCTGTGAGCAGTACAGGGCAGGCCGGTGAGCAGTACAGGGCAGGCCTGTGAGCAGTACAGGGCAGGCCTGTGAGCAGTACAGGGCTGGCCTGTGAGCAGTACAGGGCAGGCCTGTGAGCAGTACAGGGCAGGCCTGTGAGCAGTACAGGGCAGGCCGGTGAGCAGTACAGGGCAGGCCTGTGAGCAGTACAGGGCAGGCCTGTGAGCAGTACAGGGCTGGCCTGTGAGCAGTACAGGGCAGGCCTGTGAGCAGTACAGGGCAGGCCTGTGAGCAGTACAGGGCAGGCCTGTGAGCAGTACAGGGCTGGCCTGTGAGCAGTACAGGGCTGGCCTGTGAGCAGTACAGGGCAGGCCTGTGAGCAGTACAGGGCAGGCCTGTGAGCAGTACAGGGCTGGCCTGTGAGCAGTACAGGGCAGGCCTGTGAGCAGTACAGGGCAGGCCTGTGAGCAGTACAGGGCAGGCCTGTGAGCAGTACAGGGCAGGCCTGTGAGCAGTACAGGGCTGGCCTGTGAGCAGTACAGGGCAGGCCTGTGAGCAGTACAGGGCAGGCCTGTGAGCAGTACAGGGCAGGCCTGTGAGCAGTACAGGGCTGGCCTGTGAGCAGTACAGGGCTGGCCTTTGAGCAGTACAGGGCAGGCCTGTGAGCAGTACAGGGCTGGCCTGTGAGCAGTACAGGGCTGGCCTGTGAGCAGTACAGGGCTGGCCTGTGAGCAGTACAGGGCTGGCCTGTGAGCAGTACAGGGCAGGCCTATGAGCAGTACAGGGCAGGCCTGTGAGCAGTACAGGGCAGGCCTGTGAGCAGTACAGGGCAGGCCTGTGAGCAGTACAGGGCAGGCCTGTGAGCAGTACAGGGCTGGCCTGTGAGCAGTACAGGGCTGGCCTGTGAGCAGTACAGGGCAGGCCTGTGAGCAGTACAGGGCAGGCCTGTGAGCAGTACAGGGCAGGCCTGTGAGCAGTACAGGGCAGGCCTGTGAGCAGTACAGGGCAGGCCTGTGAGCAGTACAGGGCAGGCCTGTGAGCAGTACAGGGCTGGCCTGTGAGCAGTACAGGGCTGGCCTGTGAGCAGTACAGGGCTGGCCTGTGAGCAGTACAGGGCTGGCCTGTGAGCAGTACAGGGCTGGCCTGTGAGCAGTACAGGGCTGGCCTGTGAGCAGTACAGGGCTGGCCTGTGAGCAGTACAGGGCTGGCCTGTGAGCAGTACAGGGCTGGCCTGTGAGCAGTACAGGGCTGGCCTGTGAGCAGTACAGGGCTGGCCTGTGAGCAGTACAGGGCTGGCCTGTGAGCAGTACAGGGCTGGCCTGTGAGCAGTACAGGGCTGGCCTGTGAGCAGTACAGGGCTGGCCTGTGAGCAGTACAGGGCTGGCCTGTGAGCAGTACAGGGCTGGCCTGTGAGCAGTACAGGGCTGGCCTGTGAGCAGTACAGGGCTGGCCTGTGAGCAGTACAGGGCTGGCCTGTGAGCAGTACAGGGCTGGCCTGTGAGCAGTACAGGGCTGGCCTGTGAGCAGTACAGGGCTGGCCTGTGAGCAGTACAGGGCTGGCCTGTGAGCAGTACAGGGCTGGCCTGTGAGCAGTACAGGGCTGGCCTGTGAGCAGTACAGGGCTGGCCTGTGAGCAGTACAGGGCTGGCCTGTGAGCAGTACAGGGCTGGCCTGTGAGCAGTACAGGGCTGGCCTGTGAGCAGTACAGGGCTGGCCTGTGAGCAGTACAGGGCTGGCCTGTGAGCAGTACAGGGCTGGCCTGTGAGCAGTACAGGGCTGGCCTGTGAGCAGTACAGGGCTGGCCTGTGAGCAGTACAGGGCTGGCCTGTGAGCAGTACAGGGCTGGCCTGTGAGCAGTACAGGGCTGGCCTGTGAGCAGTACAGGGCTGGCCTGTGAGCAGTACAGGGCTGGCCTGTGAGCAGTACAGGGCAGGCCTGTGAGCAGTACAGGGCTGGCCTGTGAGCAGTACAGGGCTGGCCTGTGAGCAGTACAGGGCTGGCCTGTGAGCAGTACAGGGCTGGCCTGTGAGCAGTACAGGGCTGGCCTGTGAGCAGTACAGGGCTGGCCTGTGAGCAGTACAGGGCTGGCCTGTGAGCAGTACAGGGCTGGCCTGTGAGCAGTACAGGGCGCGCTCTCTTCACTCAAGCGCCAGATGCGCAACTGCATGAGCGCGCTTAATTACTTCACCCCGCCGTCTCTGCAGTCCCAGGCTGGGATCGCCCTCACAGTGAGTTGCGGGCTGCCGGTTGTTAGTGGCTCACGGTGATGCAGGGGCAGGGCACTGCTCTTCCTGCCTTTTACTTCCTCTCGCCCCCTCCCATTGCTGCTGTCCCGGACTAAGGCGATTCACTCACGGTGCACTGCATGCAGGGAGGGGAGAAGGGGATTCACTCACGGTGCGCTGCATGCACGCAGGGGGAGAAGGGGCCTCACAGTGATGCAGGAGCAAGGTACTGCTCCTTCTGCCTTTTCCCTCCCCTCGCCCGCTCCCATCACCTCCGTCCCCCCACTCTCCTCTCCTCCCCTCCCCTCCCCTTGTTGCCCGCCCCTCCCCTCACCCGCAGAACCCTCCGCTCCCCTTGTGCCCTCCGCTCCCCTTGTGCCCTCCGCTCCCCTTGTGCCCCCCGCTCCCATTGTGCCCGCCCCTCCCCTCCTCCGCAGAATGTAACCGACCAGGGCGAGTCACTTCTTGAAACTGCCGTGGCTCTTTTGAGTCCACTCGAAACACCTCCCCCTTGTGCCCTCCGCTCCCCTTGTGCACTCCGCTCCCCTTGTGCCCTTCCCTTCCCTCGCCCGCAGAATGTAACCAATCAGAGTGAGTCCCTCCTTGAAACCGCAGTGGCTCTTTTGAGTCCACTTGAAACACCTCCCCCTTGTGCCCGCCCCTCCCCTTGTGCCCGCCCCTCCCCTCGCCCGCAGAGTGTAACCAACCAGTGCGAGTCCCTCCTTGAAACCGCAGTGGCTCTGGCCTCTGCTGACGTGCCACTCCTGGATCCTGCCACGTGTCAGCAGTAAAAATCCCTCGCGCAGCAGCAGCAGCAGCAGGGAGGGGGGCCTGAGGTATACGAGGCGCCATCGTGGGTAGATGTGGGGCTGTACAAGAAGATCAGGGCCTTTCAGAAGAGAATAGCGGCAGGGGTAGGGGTAGGGGTGGGGGCAGGAGCAGGGGCAGGGGCAGCGGGGGTGGCGGCAGGAGGCGTGGGACGGGTTTTGGATGCAGTGGTGGGGCGTGGGGAGCAGTACACGCGCATTCAGGTGAGCGAGGAGTGCAGGCAGGTGTTGGCAGCGTGGGTAGGGGCAGGGGTAGGGGCAGGGGTAGGAGCAGGGGCAGCGGCAGGGGCAGGGGCAGCAGGGGTAGCAGCAGGGGAGGGGGCCTGAGGGATACGAGGCGCCAGCGTGGGTAGACGTGGGGCTGTACAAGAAGATCAGGGCCTTTCAGAAGAGAATAGCGGCAGGGGTAGGGGCAGGGGTAGGGGCAGGAGCAGGGGCAGGGGCAGCGGGGGTGGCGGCAGGAGGCGTGGGACTGATTCTGGATGCGGTGGTAGGGCGTGGGGAGCAGTACACGCGCATTCAGGTGAGCGAGACACCCCTCGCCCATAAGTCTTTCTCATTCGAGAAGAGGGCCACTTAGGGAGGGTGGATGTGTGCGCTCAACTTACTTTCTCCTTCTCTCCTCTCCCTCTCCTCTCCCTATCCTCTCCCATTCCTTTTCTCCAAAGCAAGCACTGGACGCAGCATCCCCTGCTGCCGATACCCCTCGCCCATACATCATCTTCATCCGAGCAGGGTGGTACCGGGAGCAGGTGCGCGTGGGGAGGGAGGGCGTGGTGCTGATGGGGGAGGGGGCTGACCGCACTGTCATCACTGGCAACGCCAGTGTGAATGATGGCGCATCCACATACGGCTCTGCCACTGTAGGTAGGCTCTCAACACTCTCCAGGCTCTCAGTGCTCGTCAGTGCATGCCGGTGGGGGAGGGGCTGACCGCACTGTCATCACATCACTGCCAACGCCAGTGTGGCTGATGGCGCATCTACGTACGGCTCTGCCACTGTAGGTAGGGTCTCAGCACTCTTCAATGCTCTCAATGCTCTCAGTGCGTGCTGGTGGGAGAGGGGGCTGACCGCACTGTCATCACTGGCAGCGCCAGTGTGGCTGATGGCGCATCCACGTACGGCTCTGCCACTCTTGGTACGATTCTCATGCTGTAATCACTCTCAGTGCTCTCAGTGCTGGTGGGGGAGGGGGCTGACCGCACTGTTAGGAGGAGGAAGCGAGGGGAAAGAGGGAGAAGGGCTGGATGGCCCTTATGAGGAGGAAGCGAAGGGGAAGAGGGAGGAACTGAGGGAGGAACTGAGGGAGGAACTGAGGGAGGAACTGAGGGAGGAACTGAGGGAAGAACTGAGGGAGGAACTGAGGGAGGAACTGAGGGAGGAACTGAGGGAGGAACTGAGGGAGGAACTGAGGGAGGAACTGAGGGAGGAACTGAGGGAGGAACTGAGGGAGGAACTGAGGGAGGAAATGAGGGAGGGAGGAACTGAGGGAGGAACTGAGGGAGGGAGGAACTGAGGGAGGAACTGAGGGAGGGAGGAACTGAGGGAGGGAGGAACTGAGGGAGGAACTGAGGGAGGAACTGAGGGAGGGAGGAACTGAGGGAGGAACTGAGGGAGGAACTGAGGGAGGAACTGAGGGAGGAACTGAGGGAGGAACTGAGGGAGGAACTGAGGGAGGGAGGAACTGAGGGAGGGAGGAACTGAGGGAGGAACTGAGGGAGGAACTGAGGGAGGAACTGAGGGAGGAACTGAGGGAGGAACTGAGGGAGGAACTGAGGGAGGAACTGAGGGAGGAACTGAGGGAGGAACTGAGGGAGGAACTGAGGGAGGAACTGAGGGAGGAACTGAGGGAGGAACTGAGGGAGGAACTGAGGGAGGAACTGAGGGAGGAACTGAGGGAGGAACTGAGGGAGGAACTGAGGGAGGAACTGAGGGAGGAACTGAGGGAGGAACTGAGAGGAGGAACTGAGGGAGGAACTGAGGGAGGAACTGAGGGAGGAACTGAGGGAGGAACTGAGGGAGGAACTGAGGGAGGAACTGAGGGAGGAACTGAGGGAGGAACTGAGGGAGGAACTGAGGGAGGAACTGAGAGGGAGGAACTGAGGGGAGGAACTGAGGGAGGAACTGAGGAAGGGAGGAACTGAGGGAGGGAGGAACTGAGGGAGGGAGGAACTGATGGGAGGAACTGAGGGAGGGAGGAACTGAGGGAGGAACTGAGGGAGGAACTGAGGGAGGAACTGAGGGAGGAACTGAGGGAGGAACTGAGGGAGGAACTGAGGGAGGAACTGAGGGAGGAACTGAGGGAGGAGCTGAGGGAGGAACTGAGGGAGGAACTGAGGGAGGAACTGAGGGAGGAACTGAGGGAGGAACTGAGGGAGGAACTGAGGGAGGAACTGAGGGAGGAACTGAGGGAGGAACTGAGGGAGGAACTGAGGGAGGAACTGAGGGAGGAACTGAGGGAGGGAGGAACTGAGGGAGGAACTGAGGGAGGGAGGAACTGAGGGAGGGAGGAACTGAGGGAGGGACTGAGGGAGGAACTGAGGGAGGAACTGAGGGAGGAACTGAGGGAGGAACTGAGGGAGGAACTGAGGGAGGAACTGAGGGAGGAACTGAGGGAGGAACTGAGGGAGGAACTTAGGGAGGAACTGAGGGAGGAACTGAGGGAGGAACTGAGGGAGGAACTTAGGGAGGAACTGAGGGAGGAACTGAGGGAGGAACTGAGGGAGGAACTGAGGGAGGAACTGAGAGAGGAACTGAGGGAGGGAGGAACTGAGGGAGGGAGGAACTGAGGGAGGAACTGAGGGAGGAACTGAGGGAGGAACTGAGGGAGGAACTGAGGGAGGGAGGAACTGAGGGAGGAACTGAGGGAGGGAGGAACTGAGGGAGGGAGGAACTGAGGGAGGAACTGAGGGAGGAACTGAGGGAGGAACTGAGGGAGGAACTGAGGGAGGGAGGAACTGAGGGAGGGAGGAACTGAGGGAGGAACTGAGGGAGGAACTGAGGGAGGGAGGAACTGAGGGAGGAACTGAGGGAGGAACTGAGGGAGGAACTGAGGGAGGAACTGAGGGAGGAACTGAGGGAGGAACTGAGGGAGGAACTGAGGGAGGAACTGAGGGAGGAACTGAGGGAGGAACTGAGGGAGGAACTGAGGGAGGAACTGAGAGAGGAACTGAGGGAGGAACTGAGGGAGGGAGGAACTGAGGGAGGAACTGAGGGAGGAACTGAGGGAGGAACTGAGGGAGGAACTGAGGGAGGAACTGAGGGAGGAACTGAGGGAGGAACTGAGGGAGGAACTGAGGGAGGAACTGAGGGAGGAACTGAGGGAGGAACTGAGGGAGGAACTGAGGGAGGGAGGAACTGAGGGAGGAACTGAGGGAGGGAGGAACTGAGGGAGGGAGGAACTGAGGGAGGGACTGAGGGAGGAACTGAGGGAGGAACTGAGGGAGGAACTGAGGGAGGAACTGAGGGAGGAACTGAGGGAGGAACTGAGGGAGGAACTGAGGGAGGAACTGAGGGAGGAACTTAGGGAGGAACTGAGGGAGGAACTGAGGGAGGAACTGAGGGAGGAACTGAGGGAGGAACTGAGGGAGGAACTGAGGGAGGAACTGAGGGAGGAACTGAGGGAGGAACTGAGGGAGGAACTGAGGGAGGAACTGAGAGAGGAACTGAGGGAGGGAGGAACTGAGGGAGGGAGGAACTGAGGGAGGAACTGAGGGAGGAACTGAGGGAGGAACTGAGGGAGGAACTGAGAGAGGAACTGAGGGAGGGAGGAACTGAGGGAGGAACTGAGGGAGGAACTGAGGGAGGAACTGAGGGAGGAACTGAGGGAGGGAGGAACTGAGGGAGGAACTGAGGGAGGGAGGAACTGAGGGAGGGAGGAACTGAGGGAGGAACTGAGGGAGGAACTGAGGGAGGAACTGAGGGAGGAACTGAGGGAGGAACTGAGGGAGGAACTGAGGGAGGAACTGAGGGAGGAGCTGAGGGAGGAACTGAGGGAGGAACTGAGGGAGGAACTGAGGGAGGAACTGAGGGAGGAACTGAGGGAGGAACTGAGGGAGGAACTGAGGGAGGAACTGAGGGAGGAACTGAGGGAGGAACTGAGGGAGGAACTGAGGGAGGAACTGAGGGAGGGAGGAACTGAGGGAGGAACTGAGGGAGGGAGGAACTGAGGGAGGGAGGAACTGAGGGAGGGACTGAGGGAGGAACTGAGGGAGGAACTGAGGGAGGAACTGAGGGAGGAACTGAGGGAGGAACTGAGGGAGGAACTGAGGGAGGAACTGAGGGAGGAACTTAGGGAGGAACTGAGGGAGGAACTGAGGGAGGAACTGAGGGAGGAACTTAGGGAGGAACTGAGGGAGGAACTGAGGGAGGAACTGAGGGAGGAACTGAGGGAGGAACTGAGAGAGGAACTGAGGGAGGGAGGAACTGAGGGAGGGAGGAACTGAGGGAGGAACTGAGGGAGGAACTGAGGGAGGAACTGAGGGAGGAACTGAGGGAGGGAGGAACTGAGGGAGGAACTGAGGGAGGGAGGAACTGAGGGAGGGAGGAACTGAGGGAGGAACTGAGGGAGGAACTGAGGGAGGAACTGAGGGAGGAACTGAGGGAGGGAGGAACTGAGGGAGGGAGGAACTGAGGGAGGAACTGAGGGAGGAACTGAGGGAGGGAGGAACTGAGGGAGGAACTGAGGGAGGAACTGAGGGAGGAACTGAGGGAGGAACTGAGGGAGGAAACTGAGGGAGGAACTGAGGGAGGAACTGAGGGAGGAACTGAGGGAGGAACTGAGGGAGGAACTGAGGGAGGAACTGAGGGAGGAACTGAGGGAGGAACTGAGGGAGGAACTGAGGGAGGAACTGAGGGAGGAACTGAGGGAGGAACTGAGGGAGGAACTGAGGGAGGAACTGAGGGAGGAACTGAGGGAGGAACTGAGGGAGGAACTGAGGGAGGAACTGAGGGAGGGAGGAACTGAGGGAGGAACTGAGGGAGGACTGAGGGAGGAACTGAGGGAGGAACTGAGGAGGGAACTGAGGGAGGAACTGAGGGAGGAACTGAGGGAGGAACTGAGGGAGGAACTGAGGGAGGAACTGAGGGAGGAACTGAGGGAGGAACTGAGGGAGGAACTGAGGGAGGAACTGAGGGAGGAACTGAGGGAGGAACTGAGGGAGGAACTGAGGGAGGAACTGAGGGAGGAACTGAGGGAGGAACTGAGGGAGGAACTGAGGGAGGAACTGAGGGAGGAACTGAGGGAGGAACTGAGGGAGGAACTGAGGGAGGAACTGAGAGAGGAACTGAGGGAGGGAGGAACTGAGGGAGGGAGGAACTGAGGGAGGAACTGAGGGAGGAACTGAGGGAGGAACTGAGGGAGGAACTGAGAGAGGAACTGAGGGAGGGAGGAACTGAGGGAGGGAGGAACTGAGGGAGGAACTGAGGGAGGAACTGAGGGAGGAACTGAGGGAGGAACTGAGGGAGGGAGGAACTGAGGGAGGAACTGAGGGAGGGAGGAACTGAGGGAGGGAGGAACTGAGGGAGGAACTGAGGGAGCAACTGAGGGAGGAACTGAGGGAGGAACTGAGGGAGGAACTGAGGGAGGAACTGAGGGAGGGAGGAACTGAGGGAGGGAGGAACTGAGGGAGGAACTGAGGGAGGAACTGAGGGAGGGAGGAACTGAGGGAGGAACTGAGGGGACTGAGGGAGGAACTGAGGGGAGGAACTGAGGGAGGGAGGAACTGAGGGAGGAGGAACTGAGGGGAGGCAACTGAGGGAGGAACTGAGGGAGGAACTGAGGGAGGAACTGAGGGAGGAACTGAGGGAGGAACTGAGGGAGGGAGGAACTGAGGGAGGGAGGAACTGAGGGAGGAACTGAGGGAGGAACTGAGGGAGGGAGGAACTGAGGGAGGAACTGAGGGAGGAACTGAGGGAGGAACTGAGGGAGGA